ATTGTAGTGGAATCGGGGCGCGTTAAGGTAAAGTTTCTATTTGAACTTAATTAATAGTTGATATGATCAGCAATCCTACCGACTGCGCCTCGTGCCCGTTACAATATATTTCGCCGAAAGCAAATGGAGCCTCTACCATCAGAATTCAATCGCTTCTCTGGTAAACGGGGTCAGATTAATGCCATTGAATCATCACACAACACTCTGGTCAGTCGTGTGAGCAGATACACATGCCATTGTTCCTGAGCGCAAGACGATGGATATGAGGTCGTCATGAGGAAAATTCGCGAATACCTATCATGATATTTCATGCCTATCGTAATTGATATTTCGTGCTGATCAAAATAGGGCTGACGATGGATACCTATTAATTGTTCTTCCATACGGAACCTAGCAATTTATGGACCTATCGCCTGGTACCAATCATGATAGCTACCATGGAATTGGCCATCAGGAGATAGGTTCAGGAATCCTTCCAATCCTTTTACACTGCACGATTATGAGAATTTTGCCAGTGGTTTCGCTTGTCCAAGCAAACTGTGGTGCATTTACAATGTTTTTCACTTGAATTTGAGGCTCATTCATGAGGAGCGCCTTATGCACGTGAAAAGTGAAAAGTGAGTCAAGTGAAAAGTTGTCTAACTCAGGGGAAAGCCACTGTACTAGGCCATAAAGTGAATCCCATAGTCTTCCAGACATCTCGTTGAGAACGTGTAACGTCAGACCTGTTTAGAGCTTCACGAACCATTTCAGTGCGGTAACGCGAGGCCGTCCTGGAGTTCCCGAGGAGAGAATGCCTCCGGGAAGCGCGAAATGTTGATTAGCCATCCTGTTAATTCAGGGATGTCCGGGTGAGGTATCTCCATATCCCAACGCATCGATCGATCACTGTTAACTGCCGTTTCATTCTCAGCTCATCGTATTAACTCAGCACAAAAAATGTCAAATAAATTAAAAAATAGAAAATCCAGACCCCGATTCGAAAGCCAAAGCAGCGATGAATCTGATGTGACTATACGCACCATATCAGGCAACACTGGGGACCGGACCGGAGCCAACACGCTTCACTTACAGGGACGACAGCTAATTTGTTTTTTAATCATCGCGAAATGGTGCATCGCAAACAACAAAAAAGGCACTTTTCATCATTTACAGGTCAATGTCATTTTCATGGTTGGTCTATTTTCTCTGAGTGGCTACCCAAGGGTTGGTTTTTCATGCATAGCCAAATAATATTGACTTCGTCACAAAGAAGTGATGAATCATGGCGGGAATGTATTATTTGGTCACTCGGTTAATTTACATCACCAAATTCTAATTACCTTCACCAAATGATTCCACCACCAGACTTAATGAATCTAACACCAAATTCTCTCTCAAGATTTTCACCAGGCGCCATGAAATGACCGCCAAACTTCATCGACTTGGCACCAAATAATCGTCACATATCAAGTATGAAATGAAACAATGCGCTTTATTTCTCCTGTCTTTTCTCTCCTTTCCATTCTGTCTCATTGGAAGAGACCCAGCATCCAGCTTGAATTGTGATTTTCGTAGCGAATGCTCGCGAATTTCTGCTGAGAGTCTGCTCTCTTCAAGTTGTTTCAATGTTAAAGTTTGCTGGTGAGATGTTTTTCCGCACTCCACCAAAACGTCAAAGCTCGAAGTCGCTGGTACCTCTAACACGCAACCGGAAACAGTGCTGTACTAAATTCCCGTACACGATCGCGGCCACAAAGAGACCAAGTCCTTCCCAGAAGCCTCAATCAATCGTGCAAACGAGCAATCTTAATCTCGTCTTGCCATCACAGGTCTAACTAGAAGTGATGTCTATTGCTCGACACAGTTGCAACTGCTGTAAATTTTATGTTTGATTAATTACGTTACCAAAGATTCACCGTTAGCATCAACAGTCCCTGTTTAATCTCTATTCATTTTTATTCGCTTAGATATGAAGTATAATACCCGTGCCCAAATGATGCGAACTATCACATAAAAGATGCAATAAAAAAATTCTCGACCCTCTCATGCAGCGAAGAACATCGCGATGAGACGAACATCAAGCGTACGAAGAAACCTTTTATTGTAAGACAGATTGCTGCTGGGAAACGTTCGAGACCAGATCCCGCGCCCGCGTCTTCGACCCGCGCCAGTGTTGTCAACGCGCGCCAACCCCAACAAGGATGCCAGAAACGAGAAGGGCAACGGCGGCCGTCGGCGCGACGCCCCCGTTCTCGTCCGTGGAGGCTCCCTCCCTGGGATCCTCCGTCGGAAACTCCGTCGTCGTCGTCGTCTTCGGCGGCACTTTGTGGGGGACGAAGTCGTTGCAGAAATCCGTGGGGCAAAGACACGTGTAATTTGCACCGGGGAGCTTGTCGGTCCAGAAGCAACCTTCCTGAAAGGGGTCGTGCAGAACGCACATCCTCCTCACGACTTTCTCTGCAAGAGATGAAACAAAGTTTAATTTTTAAGTATATGTTCTACAACTTCCCTGATCTTCATGGCATTACAATAGTAACACTTGAAAATGAGCGGCTTAAGAGGATCTCACCTCTGGAGTTGTCAGCGAAGCCGAAGCCGCAATAGTATTCCTGGTTAGGTACGATGGTGAGGTAATCGCAATTCTCTTCCTGCTCTTCGCTCGGCAATCTCTCGCAGTCCACACCGGCGCAGCTGTAGCATTTCAGACTCCATGCTAAAATTGGCACAAGAGCGAATGTCAAATAGCCATTGTCATCCGATTCCCCTCGCAGATTGGAAATTTGTGGAATTTCACAGCCAATATTTGCATATTGGAAGCTGCCTTTCTAACCGAGTGCAGCGAATTCCACTGCTTCTGGGGGAATGAATCAATTGGCTTAAATGCATCTGAAAGCTTAATATGCTTAAAAATGCCCATGCCCTGGAAGATTCCTTCGAGAGTTTTCCTCCAAATTTTTTTTCCTTTCGCGAGAAAGCTTTCCCGGAGTGGACAAGAGATTAGAGTTCATTTTGAGGTTTCCTGACATTGAACAATATCTCCGGAGAAATGCTAAATATGCGACATGAAATTTGCTTTTGCAACTTCTCTTTCAACTGTACAGTCCAAAGAAAGTGAAACGAAAGCTCTCGAAAAAAGGTTATTCTAAGCGAGAAAGTGCAGTGAAGCCGCTGAGTAGATTCGTCGTTCCTAGCTGACTTATTTCATTCGTGCCAAAATATCGCATCCGCGGAAACTTGCATTATCGTGCTCGTTGCTAAGAAATTTACCAGAAAAACTTTCTGTGCGACCGTTGTATTGGGCTGAGAACTGCAAAGTTTTTATTAAGCACAATTGCGCTAAATGATACATATTTATAATATTTTTGGCATGTCATATATTTAAATTTTAATCATCATCAATCTCTTAAAATACCCTAAAAACCTTGCAAATTTTAAAGCATTATATTAGCGTAAATATAGCAAAAATTGGAAAACCTTTCAAGGGCTTTCATTTGATACACAAAGGACTCACAGTAATGCGAACCGCGATGAAGCATAATTCATGAAACATGATTCATGAATGCCAAAAAGAAAGTATACGTCGGCTCTGCGATCGACATTGGACGGTTACAACGTCTTGAGATGCAAAGCAGCTTTTTTCTCAGCTGCCTACGTCGTGCAACGCCCATTTAGAGATGTAACAAAGGTGCTGAGAAGTGGATCAATCCACCTCTAAGTGGGGTAATGATCTGCGCTCGACCGTCTCCGAATTCAATGACATTTGGCAAGCAGTCGGATTATTTTGAAAATAGCAAAAAAAAGGCAGTCCTTAGAGCAGAAGCCGAGAAAAGTGAGTTTTAATTCAAAGTGGCACAAAATGGCCCCCCTGATGTTAAATTCCTGACCGGTCATGATGTCACCACCCTGTTTAGATTGGCCATAACATTTCTAGTCGGAATCAGCTGATACTTGACAGAGATATTCATGTGGCTAAGAGGTTTTCCAAATCCACAAGATGGCGCTGCATGTCGATAGAGGGCTCCCTATCGTCGTACTACGCCACTTTTTAGGTAAGAAGAAAAACCTGTACGGTTTTTTTTTGAGCCTTTGAACGTTTTATGAGCCTCTCTGCTAAATATCAGTTTTAACAAAGCTCTTTCAAAAAAGTTGGTCTGTAAGGCAATGTAAAACATGAATTTAGTCAAAGTCGGTTTGAGGCCAAAACTGGGAAAACCACTTTAATTGAATTTTGAGATGATGGAGCTTAGACCATTACTGCATATGAGGTGTAAACTGTGTAAAATATGTAAACTTTGTAATGGGACAATACATAGCTCAAAATTGTTCTGAGAAAAACCAAACCATCTTCTCAACACCTTGCATATGTCCAATATCAAGAGTTTATGAGCCATATAAACTTTTATATAATATACGAATCTAACTTTCTCCCATAGAAAACATTGGAGCATTTTTTTAAATCACCGTATATACCGCCACTCGGTATGCCGCAACTCAGAGGCCGCCATTCGCCGATAACACTTATACGAAAATGCTTGATTCCTAGTACTTACATGTTTAACATGTACTTACATGCTTAAAATGTACTCTCATGCTTGTGGGATGAATAGTGCTGGTGTAGAGCATCTGGGGGAACTAAACATGCAATTTAAGCTTTGCATCCGTTTAGTTCAGTTTTCCTACTAAGAATATGTCATTTTATCTGCTTGCATACGGCAGACTGGCTGTACTTAAGAAATAAATTTGCGAAATTCGCCAGACGCAACGTTTCGGCTGCTTTCCCAAAAATGTCGACCCGCGAAATTTCGGGGACGAGTTGGTGTGCGACGCAGCAATTTTAGATGGACTGGTCGGGCATGGAACGGCACTAATGTCGATAAGGCAGGCGAATCGATTTCGCGTCGAAGAATCCATGCTTTAACACGTGGGAACACTCACAGGAGGGAACGAGGAAGGCGCAGATGGTCCCGAGGAGCACGAGGGTTTTCATCTTCGTTTCCGAGTCGATGGCGAAAAGAACGTGGAAATGCCGGAGCAGCCACAGATGATGCTCGGAGAAAGGCGAGGCGTCCTTGTCTGTGTAACGTCCTTATCGGATCCCATGAAGCATATGCTCAACAGGAAATCCCCATATCTGGCTTATCGGGAGGGAGCGGAGGTTGATATGACTACCTTGCCTGGAATGGACCGATGACTGCCAGTAAAAATTACTCAGAAATTCCCGGAAAGCGATTTGAAGCCCGACTAAAAAAAGTGGAAGCTTGACTTCATGGGCTGACAATCCTCGAGATATGCCTGAAAACCTATCTAACTCCAATATGAAAAGGTCGAGTTAAATAAAAATTCACTAGCTCGCATTACTGCTGAAGTCAGTTCGTACTATCGAGCATGGCTATCATCATACGAACGATGACAAGTAGCTAATTTCTGGAAATGTTGTTTCGCCAAGCCTTCAGAAGGTGAAATTTCCAGATGGATTTCATTGATTGTGCCATCCACATTGTGCAGATTGGACCTGTTGCTATCTGCAGGGACACATGGATTCCATGTGTCCCTGTCTGCCTTGATGAAGTGTCGGAGCGATTGTAGGTGCAAGTACGATGGGTTCTCGGTTCCGTTCCTATCGCCACGTATTTACCCTCGTATTTTTCATCCCTGTTATCTCTTATCATCTAGGCGACTGCCTTGGATCGATTCCAAGGCCAGAAAGCGAGAGAACGAAGTTGTGTCGGTATATTAGCTGAGTTGCCCTGGGCGTTGGCGTTGCCGAATGGCGGAAATGCGATTTCCTCGTATTTCTTCCCAATTATTATCGCCGCGGAAGACTGACTGAAACGTTCGCGTGGGACTCACAAGGGCCCCACAGCGTGGGAAACCAGCTTAAATCGACGAGACTAGAAGAATCAGGCCGCAATCGAAGCGCTCAATCTGGTCGAGATGAGCGGAACGGGTGGAATGGGAATAATGGGCCGAATGGGAGAAATGGGCCGAATGGGCCGAAAGGGGCGAATGAGAGAAATAGGCCGAATGGGAGGAATGGAAGGAATGGGCGGAGCAAGAGCCCGTCGGAAATCCGGTTGGGGCCGTGTCCCATGCAGCAACCCGGTGTCTTACCTCGCAGCCGTCAAGCGAATGCAGATAAGCCAGAGGAGATTACGGTATCACCCGATGTTTGAGACCGGCAAATGCCGCACCCACGAATCTCGTGGGAGGATTCAGGAACAAGGAGATGAAAAACAAGCTAAATGGAGCTGAAATCGAGTAACATTGGGAAACTTATCCGGAAGAAACTCCAATTTAAAGGTATTTTTCTCTAAATCTCTCCGAATTCCATTCTACCTTATCCTCGACCTATTTACTTTCATGTGATAACCGAAAATTTACACGAAATATGATATCATTTTTAGTACAAATGTTTAATGTATCTTTGCAACACTTTTCAATTGGCCTTATTTTGTGATGCGCTCACTCATTTCATCACATTTCATGACATGATATGTGGTGAAATAAATGATTCATTCCAATACAATTTAAATGACATTCAATACCAATACAATTTAAATGACATTCAATACCAATACTTTTTTCATTCAATTTATTCAATACTTTTTATCCAGATCTCTGGTTTCCCAATCTCGCAAGTTTTCTTGTGAAAAAGTTTTGTTGACTCTGTCCCAATAGTTAATTTCATCGGAATTTTTTTGTTTTCTCAGTTTTCGTGTGGTAAGCCATTGTCAAATCCGATTTCGATTTTTTTTTCCCATAGGAAATCGCGAAGTTGCAGTTGTCTCTTCCTGGTGCATCAAGTGGGTGATATTTATTATATTTATATTTAACCCTATGCTGCCTGATATACGAAAGACTCGGAAAAAAAAACATTTTTAATTGAATATACTTTGTGTCTAAAAAAGGATGCCATTTTATTATTATTTTTTGGATATCTCCATCCGATAATATGTAAGACTCGTGCGTTTTTGCGCATGGCATTTCAGGTGAATGAGAAAGATTCCTACCATGTGCAAAAGAAATCCACCCAGTGCTTCAAATGCAATACATTTTCAAAATTGAAGCATCAAAAATGACAGTGAACGAGCAATGCACATGTTAATTTTTTTTAAAAGGTGCATCACGTTGGCCTCTTCCAAAATGACAGCCCTCTCAGTAGGCAGTCTCGGTAATGGATTTGGTTCGGATGAGTCTCTTTTACCTCGTGATATCACAATTCCTTTAAATATTTATTATTATTAGAGGCTGGTAGTTTATTTGCATTAAAAACATCTCCTACCGAAAACCTTACAAGTCTAATGCCTTTTTGCACTCGACAAGTCGAATGAAAAAGGGTTAAATTTATGGTCTGTTAACTTTATGCAAACCAACCTTTAAAAAATGAAAGTCGTACTCAAAATGTTCACCTTCAGCACGAACCCAAGCTTCTCTTCTTGACTGAGAACCGATTCTTCCACAGCTTTGATATTTTCACAGTTCGAGTTGAGCGTGACCTGATGCTTGCACTTTGTTTCAGTTACGAGATGTTACCTACTTTTTTCCTATTGAATTCCTTAATGAACCAATTGCAGAATTGCAGGCATTCATCCTACAAACCTTTGCTCCAGTGACCTGTTCTCTTCCTTAAATCCCAAGACGTTCTTCGTAAATTAAAATACTGTGATTCATGACGTCACGAAAGTAATAATGGACAGTTTTTCCCTAGGCATACAGTAAGTAATTGTAATCAAATTTAAAAAACGCAACCTGATCACAAATTAACTTGGATAATGGATGGTAAGAAGTATCAATAAGGTAATTTGGGGGAAGAATGGCCAAACAAAGTGAAATTTGGTCATAACGGCCCATTAAGGTCGAATTTCACATTTACAATGTTTTTAAAATACTGATTCCTATCTCCTTTACTAAATCCCAGCAAATAATGCGCCTTTGGATCTTTTCCAAGTTGGTCTCAAGAGGCCATATTACCCGGATTGTTGGGGCTTGAAGTTATGTCCACTTCTCAAAGAACAACTCAAGGTTTTCCATGTACGACTGAAAATTTTCCTCAACATGCTGAGTACCTTGCAACATATTAAGGGAGGCTGAGCAGTTGAAAAAGAAATAATTAACTCCATTGAGGACTAGCAAAGAAGTCGACATTATTATCCGACTCAAGGACCTGTTGCAAAAATCAGGAATAAAACGCTTTTCTGGTTTGAGTAGCATTGCACGTGATTGGGAGCCTGCATCCAGAGACTGTGGGTGTGAGAGGAGTGATCAATCGTAAATTAAAGTGAACATGAGCTACGAGTGTTAAATAAGTGGTTTCACATTGCAGGAAAAACACTGCGTAGTTTTTGCAAGCATGGATACATAGTGCCAAAAATATCGCTTGAAGCCCTTTTAACTTTTTGTACGAGGGATATTTACTTGCATTCAAATTTCGTGCCAGCGGATGCGAATACCCAAGAGGCGGTGCATGGCCGTAACTTCATGCATGACCTCCTCATGTACTGCATATTTCGTCCAGGTGTGCAGCACGTCAATCCATATGTCCAGAGGAAGTGCATTGGATGATATTTTGCAGGCCTGAGATCCCACATGAAATGAAGCTGACACTACCAATAAGTCAGTGTTGTGCTAACATGAAATGAAGGATGTGTCCATATTCCCCCAAATCGAGATGGCCATATTCCCCCATATTAGCTTGTATGACAAATTGAAAACAGTCTGCAAACCGCAAGTAATGGGGCTAGCACTTTGCACAAGCATTATGGAGGGATCATCGAAGAACTTTGAAGAAATGGTTTCTGCATCCATGCTGCTATTAAGAAATTTACGCTGAAGTTGCTCAAGGCTCATATTAGTTTCAAGGTCATGAGTCAAAGAATCGCATGCATATGACTTTCAAGACATCGATGTGTCCCGAATTCCTTTGAGAACTGGATCAATGAACAGATCTAAACATTTCGACAATTGCATGCACTCTTCCATAGAACTATTATTTTCTAATTTGCCCAAACTAATTATTCAGTCTGTAAGGGGATTCATTGGGAAGGGCCATATTACCCCAATTACCATGTTCGCCCAAATTACCCTAACCAGTTTCCTTACTGGGACTGCCAGCTGCCCATGCTCAGTGATGTTGGAGCTCGTGAAAGGGATGTCTGGCGAGGAGCTTTGAACAGATATCTTTATCTATTTTCGATATTCAATTTGGAATAAATATTGCATTTGAAGCACTGGGTGGATTTATTTCACACCTGGTAGGAATCTTTCTTATTCACCTGAAATGCCGTGTGCAAAAATGTATGAGTCGTGCTTGATATATAATGGTGATATTTAAAGAAAAATAAAGTGGTGTACTTTTTTTTGAGACACTACATTTTGTTGAAGGAACTGGAAGAGCATCAAAATGCCAAATGTAGTCCATTTTATTGCACTTTTGTTGTTTTTTTTGCCAAAATGGGAAAAGTTTTCAAAAAGTGAGAAAATGTATGAAGCTAAATTTTTCAGGAAATCAGCAATCATGTCCGAAATACAAATATTATTGTTGAAATAAAAAAACGAAAATAAATAAGTAATTTTTTTAAAGATAATATTTACTGATAAATAACTAATTGCAACTGAGACGATCTAAGGACTCTTTTTCAACGATGGTGCTCATACAATATTTTCAGGATTGCAACAATTAATCAGGTACGCCCCCAATCGGAAAAACGACCCAATGAAAGGTGAATGACACGATGGCACGATGCAGATCATCATCCATCCACATGCAGCAAGAGAGCAAGGAAATGGGCAGGCACTTCGTAGCTCTTCTTCCTGGATGGAGTTCGAAATTCTCCAAGTTTGATATGAAGCAATAAATTTTGATTAGATGTTTCTCGGGGCAATCTGGCGGTTCCAACGAGATAAGAACTAGAGGTACAAAAAGAAATACTTTTTATTGTAGGAGAGGAGAGAGAGGTTGGCAGAGGGACATCGTGTCAAGATAGGGCGACAGGTCTTAGATGGATTGAGCAGTAAAAAAGATGGACTTTGTCGCCCTGTCACTGTCGAACTGCAGCGATGGCGAGGAGGCCGGAGATGAGAAGGGTGAAAGCGGATTTTGGCGAGGTGGATGTGTTTTCGACGTCTTTGCTTTGCGAGGCTTCGTCGTCAGGATCCTCTGGTGGGCCGTCTGGTGGGCCGTCTGGATGGTCGTCTGGATGGTCCTCTGGTTGGTCGTCTGGTTGGTTGTCTGGTTGGTTGTCTGGTTCGTTGTCTGGATGGTCGTCTGGTTTGTCCCAAAATTCGTTTCCTTCATAGTCATCTTCTGCTTCATCCACATGGTAGTTCGGGTCGTAGTCTAACATGTCTTGAGCGCTGTGTGGTGAGCCCTGTCGTGGGCCGTTTTGTGGGCTATCTGGTTGAACCGGTGGCTCAACTTTTGGGGGGACCACATTGTTGCAGAGGTCACTGGAACAAATACATGCGAAGGTTGCTCCTGGGACATCGGTGGTTGAGTAACATTCCTCCGCATCATTAAAATTTAAAACGCAGTGCCTCCTCACGACCTTCTCTGCAAAACCAAAACCGGAAGAATTTCTTCAACGAATTCGGAAGACAAATTCGAATGGGAGCTTCACTTAAGAACATACTTTTCGAACTGTCATCATAGTCGGTGCCGCAGTAGTATTTCTTCTCCGGTGCGGTGGGGAGCACATCGCAGTTCTGTGCCATTTCCTCGCTCAGGTCCTTGTTGCATTCCACTCCGAGGCAGGAATGGCACTTCAGGCCCCATGCTGCGAATGCCCAGTCAAACCGAGAGCCAAATGAGCAAGGTGCCAGTCAAACCAAGACCCAAAGGTCCCCCCCCCCCCTTTTTTGTTGCAAGGCTTGTTTACCACCCGCCGTGATAAAGGACTCGCATATCTGCTCGAGAATAGAACAAATGAAATCGTCTTTTGTGATATCTAGTTCCTCACACGAGAGGCCATTTTCATGTGAAGCACTGAGCAGGTGCGAACCAGATTACATCCCGATCCACTCATTCCACTCCATCTCCCTTCCAAGAAGAGGGCTCTGAACGATACGAAATGGGGAACTTGACCTGCTCTTGGAGACCTTGAAGACCTCGTTCCAAAGTCGATCTCGACGACCGACCCTCGACAATTTCTCAACGACCTGTCAGACTGTCGCCTCAGTATTCTCGTTATGAGAATATTGAGGCAACTAAATTGTCTGCTGAGCCTTTCGCGAACTGGAAGCAAACGCAGCTCATCTGGGTGAGTCACAGGTAAATCATGATTAATGATCAGGACTCACCCAGCTCCTAGCCCATCCGTTATCGTTAGTAACGCAACTCGTAATCAGTCGACGATCATGAGTTATGCAGTTAACTTTTGTTGATCGTGAGGGCCACCAGCTCCCAGCCTGAAAGTCCTTTGTCGATCCAACCACCCCAAAGGCGAAGAGAAACAACAACCACACCGTGGTGCTACCCGCGTGAAACCCCCAGAAATCAATTGGATTCGACCCGAACAACCGACTCACAGCCAGAAACGAAGGCGCAGACGCTCCCCAACAGCAAGAGGAATTTCATCTCGAACGAGTCCGGACCCCAAGAGCTTCCACGATGCGACTCGAACGGATCCCAGAAAAACACTGCGCACGCGCACGCCTCCCTCGCACTGAGGCGAGCCTCTTATCTAAATCGGCGACGAGACGCATTCCGGCTGCGTCTGGCCAATCGGGCCGACGAGTGAACCATATCTCGTCGGCAGGACTCTCATCGCCTGTTACTCAAGAGTTGCTGACGCGATCCCGAAGAACTGAGAATCCGGGAAGTGTCAAGGCTGAGTTTTAGAAAAAAAGACCGAAGTGATTTCAAAAATAACTTCGTATGGCTTACCATAAGAAGTTATTTTTGGAATCACTTCGGTTTTTTTTTTTTAAAGGGGTTTCGAGTGCTCTCCGTTAGCTCCTCGTCGCTTTCCTTTTTCGATTTCGAAGTCGATGAAGTCTGGCTTGACGAGCACGCAAACATTTCCGCTCTCGTTGCTGCAGTTTTCACGAAGCGTGCATAGTCTGGTACATACGCCTGAGAATCGCAAGAATTCATAAAAGGTCATCAGCCACAAGCAAGACAGCGAGCAATCAACGTTCACATTTAAACTGAACCGGATGGAAAGGAGAAATAACCCGACTGACGTGGACGCCTCATCCGGTCGTTTACGATCGCTGGTAATCAGCAAAGAAGAATAATGAAGCAAATCAAATTCTGCTTGAAATCTCATTGGGACATTGAGAACGTTTCAGAACATGCACAGCACAAGTTACGTACGAATGACTCCAGGAAGTCCAGAGTGTTCAAGTTGAAAACTCTCGGGTCTTTTCTGGTTATGCCCCCCCCCCCCCCCCCCCCCCC